GCCTTAGACTAAGAATAGCTAAGAGCGTTGTTATGATCTGGCCTTAGACTAAGAATAGTTAAGAGCGTTGTTATGATTTGGCCTTAGATTAAGAACGATTTAAGAGCACTATCGAAATAATAACTGAATTGAATAAAATATGTTGATAAGAACTGAATAATATCAAAACTGTGAATGTCTGAAGTGAACATTGTGTGCATGATATCAAATGATTTGATTATGAATTTAGATTCAGTATATATGGATGTTCGACGCATTAGATATGCTTACTCAGCTTTACCGCTGAGCGTGTAGTATGTTTTATTTGCTACACGCAGGTAAACAGAAAGAACAATGTGATCCTGGTGGCAGATGAGGCGGGATTGTCGGGATGGATGTGACAAGTTTTGAAATGAATTATGATATGTCAATTTTTAATTCGCTTCCGCAATATTGTTGAATACTCCGTACTGTATATGTTATGAAAAATATTATTGTGATAAATAAAAGTGTTTGAAAAGTTTTAAATTTTTACGATTTCCAAGTTAATACTTTAGTCCAAAAGGGGCTGCAGACCTGGACGGATTAGGGTGTTACATGACTGGTGGGTAATGAGCATCGATGGATCTTCTAGGTCTCGATCTTATGGAGCAGGTATTGTTCTGATTACTCCGGAAAATTTCCGGATATATTACGCTGTAAGATTTCAGTTCCGCGTATCCAACAATGAAGCTGAATACAAAGCCCTGATCAACGGACTGAAGATTATTGGCAAGCTAGGAGTGTCTAGGGTTCAAGTATTCAGCGACTCCCGACTAGTGGTGGGACAAATCATTGGGGAGTTTGAAGCAAAGAAAGAGAGGATGAAAAGGTACCGGGACTTGTCCTTAGAAATGTTGGGAAGGTTTGAGTTTAAGCTTGAACACATACCCCAGGCCCAGAATGCGGAAGCTGATGTTCTATCCAAGCTCAGCGCAGAATCACCAGAATACATAAGCCGATTAGCAACTATCGAAGAGCTGGCAGTTCCGAGTCTCAACAGAGATGAAGTGTTTTAGATAGCAGCTGATCCCCCGGAATGGTTGGACATGTTGGCAAAATACATTGAAGACGGTGTAGCCCCGGAGGATTCCCGAGAAGCCCGTTTGCTGCGGATGCGGGCACCCACCTACAAGGTGCAGGATGGAGTCCTCTATAAGCGATCTTATAACGGTGTTTTACTCCATTGCCTCAGGGCGGCGGAAGCAAAGGCACTAATGGAGGAAATACACGAGGGAGTATGTGCTGCACATCAGGGTCCATACTCTATCTCCAGAAGGGCGATTATCCAGGGATATTTCTGGCCAACGATGAGGAAGGATTGCGAAGAGTACGTGCGCAAGTGCCCAACCTGTCAACAATTCCAGAATATGCCCGGGAGGCCAGCCACGAACTACACGCCCATTAGCTCTGTGATTCCCTTCTCAAGATGGGGAATTGATATTGTGGGAGCCCTGCCAAAGGGAGTTGGACAGGCAAGGTGGATAGTGGTGGCCATTGATTACTTTACCAAGTGGGTGGAAGCTGAACCACTTGCCGGGATAACAGGAAGGCAGATGATCGACTTCGTTGGAACCAATATACTTTGTAGGTTTGGGGTCCCGAAGCAGATCATATCTGACAATGGAACCCAGTTTGAGGAAGCAGAGTTTCGAGACTTCCTCAAAACTTGGGGAATTCAGCATACAAAAGTGTCTGTTGCCTACCCTCAGGCTAATGGACAAGTGGAGAACGTCAACAGGACAATCATAAATGGAATAAAAAAGAAGCTGCTTTCAGAGGGAAGTAAATGGGTGGATGAACTACCCAGGATCCTGTGGACATACAGGACAACTCTAAGGAGAGCTACGGGTGACACTCCTTTCGGCTTAGCCTATGGTTTTGAAGCCCGGGCTCCCGCTGAGGCAGTAATCCCTACCAGGAGAGAGATAGAATATGACCCGGAAGTAAATGAACATAATCAAGCCGTAGAACAGAACTTCATAGAGGAACGAAGGGATGAAGCACGGATCCGGGCAGAGAATTATCGTCGCCAGGTGAAATCTTACTTTGATAGTAGAGTAAAACCAAGGGCGTTCCAGGTGGGGGATTACGTCCTGAGGAAGCGAGAGAAGAGTCAACCAACTAAGGGTGGGAAGCTGGCTAAGAAATATGAAGGACCTTATATCATCAAGGCCGTTGTTCGCCCAGGTACCTACAAGTTGGTGACTCCAAAGGGAAAAGAAATTGATAGGACGTGGAATGTAGAGCACTTGGTAAAATTTTATCAGTAAAATCATTTTGTAAAGCGCTCTATTTTTAAATTTAAGATGTTTGTTTCAATGAATTTTTCTTTCCTTTAAAGCCAAGTGCCTTTGCATGTTCATTGTTCTATAGATTTCTTTCACAAAAAAAGGGGGGGAGAGCACCCCCCGGGCGATAAAGACCCACGTTAAAGGGAGGTAGATAAGTTTATGCCACCTGCTAAAAATAGGGGAGGTAGATAAGTTTATGCCCCCCGGAGGTAGATAAGTTTATGCCTCCGTCAAAAATGAAGGAAGGGTTGGGATTGGACTTTGAGGGCCTTTACAACCTGGAATTCGGGAAGAACAGCAAACAGACTTTGAGGGCTGAAGCTTAGTATTCCACCAGCACAGATCAACCGAGCAAACAAACTTCGAGGGTTGGAGCTCAACTGATCTGAGGTAGATAAGATTATGCCTTAACCCAGAGGAAAGGAGGTCAGGGGCAGGTGAGGTAGGTTCCCATGACATGTCCAAACCCCGGGAGATGAGATTTTATACAGAGAATGAATTATGTACTTGCATTAGAAAAAGTGTAGAGAAATAACCATTAAGGACCACATTGATGGGCCAAGGTTTACATTTTTGGTTCACAACAAAGGTTCCTAGTGAGATAAAGAAAAAACTGAGGGAATTTATCGATTTCTAACTCGAAGGTTGTATCTTTGAATTACAACGTTAAATCCTAGACTGAAATGGGAGGATATTCCTTAGTATGGGACGCATGAAAAACTCCTGGACCAAACAAGTGAATGCCTCTTGAAATAAAACAAGGAAAAGAAATTTAATTTGCAGGGGGCTAGGAACTAAAGGAGGGCCTATTGCATCCATGCAGTCAACAAAAAGGAGGCGAGGGCCCTTCCCATGGGCTCCTTCTCTTCGACGAGGGGCACGCAGCGGAATCAGAAGCTTCCCGTATGTCATAGTCTTCCCACGTCCCAGGATGGGGAGCTGGTGCTCCCAATGAAGAACCATCATTGAGAGACCTCAACAAGTTTGGAGAAGTAGTCCGGCTTTCACGTGAAGGTTCCGTCTCGACAGTCGACAGAGAACGCTCAAGTTTAGCCCTGCGCATCCTCTGGTACAAGGCGAAGTCTTGGAGGGTTATAGAGTCCCAGTCTATCTTCCTGGATGGAAGCCTGGGTGGACTGTGAGGAGATGGTGCGGGAAGACGAGGTGCTGGATGAAGTCTTGAGAACTCGCCAGGACTCAACCCAGCCATGTCTTGGATTGAGCCGGGGAGGCGGAGAAATCATCATCTGAGGAAGATGTCCCGGAAAGGGTTAAGTCGATAACGACTTTACTCTGAGATTTAGTTGCCATGGCGAAGAAACTAGAAGGGGTTATATCCGTTGAAAGGATGGACCCAGGGTACTCGAGTGCGACGTTTCTAATCCGACACGAAAACCGAAGGCGGCTCATTATTAGTTTTCTAGCGACACGTCGCCAGAAAACTAGGGGGCTTGTGATGGATATCGGGTCTGATGGACCCGACTCTAGGCCCAATGAAGGCCAATAACAGCGCGAGACGTATAAGGCCAGGTGGGGGTAACGGGCCGAGCCCGATACCACGCGTGTGGCAATGGAAAAAGACGGCCCAGTCATGGATTAAATCAAGGTGACCCAGTTCAAGAAAGGAATGGGACATGTGGCCCACATCATTAAGTTATGGACGAGATGGGAAGAGAACGAGATCGAAAAAGAGGGGATCACAACCCCATGATCTCCAGAATTTCTCCCATTTTGTATAATTTTAATTGCAATATTAGAAGTACTATAAAAGGGGGAGAACCCTCCATTGTAGAGGGGGACAACTCAAACAATTCCATACTTAATCAAAGAATATCATCGAGTAATTATATCTTTCTGGTTCATATTACGTTCTTAGTCCGCCATCTGATCGGGTTAATCCCATCATTTTTATTACTGGTGCTCGAACTAAATTCATCGCCAAGATTTCTTTTAACTCGATCACCATTTTCAATACTTCGTTCAATCCTTGGACTGTTTGCTTGACTGATTATCCTCACCTTCTCACTCGATTCAATTTGTGCATTATTTCAAAAAAGTAGAAAATCAAAAAAATAGTATCAAGGTAATAAATTATATGGAGTAATAAGTAACGTAAATATATAGCAAAGTTACCATCTCATCACATTCAGCATTATCGTCTATGTCTTTCCAAATCTTATCCCAAGCGGTTAGGTCCCTTTTATTTTCATATAATGCAAGAGTGTGTTTGACTCCCGTAAAATAGGAAACACCATAAGACTTACTTCCCTTGTAAAACTCAGATTCACTACTCTCCTTCACAGAAATTTTGAAGAGTCCTTTAACTCCAAGCAACCTCCAAATTTCTTTGGGAAGTGAATTAGGACTCCCTGACCTCTGTAAAATAGTTTAAGTATGTTTTTGGCATACCTTTGATACAACCTCTCTTACAGCCTGTTCTTTAGGACTGGAAAAAAAGAGCTGGATGTTGGAAAAACTGGAAGAAACTAGAAAAAACTGGAAGGAACTGAAAAAAACTAGAAGAAACTAGAAGAAACGGGAAAAAACTGAAGGAACTAGAAAAACTTCAAAAAAAATCAAAAACCTAAAAAACATTTAAAAACATTTATTTTAAATTCTTGTTGTTATAAATTATTATTATTATTATATTATTATTGTTGTTGTTGTTGCTGTTGTTGTTGTTATTATTATTATCATCATCATCATCATCACGTTATCTTAATGAATGCCTTTAAGATACAAAAAAAGTAATGTTATTTTTTAAATACAAAAAACTATTTTTACAAAAAAATAATTATAATATAAAGTTAGCATAAATATAAAAATATTAAATTTTAAAAAGCCATTGTGGTTATATTGTACCTCAATTTATTTATGCAGTATTTATTATAAATAATATATTTGTAATTATAATTTATATATTACAAGATTTTGTTTTAAATATCAAACATGTCACATAATATAACCAAATCTATTTTTCTTTCATAATTGACATTTTATTTTTATTGAAGTCCTATTTTTGGAATAAAGACATAGTTTTTTTAAATACATTTTTTATGTTTTACTCCTATTTTAGTCTTTTTCTCTAAACTATTTTGACTTACAATTTTTTTTATATAAAAATTAGAAGAATGAGAAAATTTTAAGTAATAAAGAGGAAGGTGAGATGTCTTATATAAAATTAGATTAATAAAAAATTCAATGTTACTATTTTATCCATAATTTTTTCAATATAATTTAACATATTGGCGTGTTCCTAATTTATCATCTAGACTAATATACAAAAAATTGTCTTATTCATATTAAAAAGTTGAAAAAAAGAATAATGAGTATAAATCATAAAAATAGTGAGATGAAAAATAATAATTTATAAACTATAGTTATGAACATAACATTTGCAATAATAATAATAATAATAATAATAATAATAATAATCACACTAAAATATATCGTTTTTAGATTAATTGGTTGAGAAGTCGAAAGAGTTTGAAAAAATGAGAAAAGTTGGAAGAAACTAGAAGGAACTAGAAGAAACTGGAAGAAACTAGAAGAAAGTAGAAGGAACTGAAAGAAACTGTACATGCTTTATCTACTCTCATGGGTTCATCTACACGCTAGGTTTCCGAGGGTGTAAGTCTGACACCTCTCTCTTCATCTACTCTCATGGGACAGACACGGCCTACATACTCCTTTATGTTGATGATATCGTCCTCACAGCTTCCTCTGAGTCTCTCCTTCGGCGCCTCACTGAGCGCCTTATAAGGGAATTTGCTATGACTGACATGGGTGACCTTCATTTTTTCTTGGGCATCAATGTTCACCGGACAACACACGGTCTCTTTTTGCATCAGACACAGTTCACGCACGACATCCTTGAGCGTGCTG